TGTTGGGAAACGCCACGGGCAACTTCACTTACAAGGCTACGACATGATCCTACCTCCCCATCTACGTATCATGAGTCTCGTTCATAAAATTGTAGAAACTTTTATTTTCTCATTTATTCTAAAATATAAAAAAAAGGTGCATGTAATAACGAGGTACAACGAATAAGGAGATGCACCGAATAAAATCCTGAAATTTTATGGTTAAGGGTAGATGTTGAAACTGTAATAATACCAATTGGATTAAAATGCATGTATAATTATTATAGCATATTAACATATTTACTTTCACATACCTTTGGGGAATTAACCGAGGAAAATAAAGTACGTTTTCATTTGGGGAATTAACCGAGAAAAATAAAGTACGTTTTCCCACTAGGGAAACATAGAAAGAAATGTACATCCTCAAAACTAACTAGTACCTTTTTCTCATATCTTCATTGACCGAACAATATTGAGTCAAAATAGTTTTCTAATCCGATTAAGTGAATTATAACTACCTAGTCAAATATCTAAGGACAAAAACCATCAATGTTCGAGTTCATATGAAATGAGACTTTTTTTGCACCCCCTTTCCTCCTTCCTCTTCACTGAGCTAAAAAAAATCATGAACTATAATCACTATTACTTAACATCATATTGATCATAACCCTTCAATTTGAACAACTCGGTTATTCCTTTCGTATTTCAACAGCAACAATCGAAGCATTAGGAGAATTCTCCAAACCTTACGATTAAAGATGAATGTTAAAGCAAAGGTAAAGACGTCGGTATTCCTTTGCATATGGTAAATCACGTATCATTTATATCACTTATTTGGATCACTCACACTCGCCCTCGTTCAAAAAATCAGACCCAATTGTCGAATATGTTTTTTCCGTACTTCTTGACCATTGCATCTTGAAGGTTCAATTTATTTTACTGGCGAGCTATATTTGTAAGAACAGGTCAGACACGGTTTCAAATGTGTGAAACACTGGGGTCTTACCATTCAGTTGTTTACTCTGAGATAGGTTGAAGGTGTCTGTATCCATTAGTTGTTTATCATAAGGTATTTTTAGAGTGTATTCATAGGCAATCATCGGGTTGTGGTTACCCTCAGGCGATCGTCTATAAATTATTGTTTGTAAGAAAAAATAGCAAGAAAAAAAAAACTTTGGACTTAAACACCGATGACTATTGGCAACGAGAGACCTTCCCGTGAACACTTAAATTCAAGATCAATGCTAAGACCCGATATGTTCTCTTCTCAAACATGATATGTTGAATGGAACAAGGTGTAGGATGCAAAGTTTTCATCATAAGAATCCAACAACGTAAAACGTGGCTTAAGCTCACAGTGAAAGGTGAGTGACAAGCAGAGAGGATTATTTAAATCATGACCTGGTGTACTATATAAACGAGTAAAGGGCATAGTGTTTTTTGCTATGGGGTTGGACCAAACACATATCATGATAGACGATGAATTTAATGGTTGTGACATAAAAATTTATCAGACATACTGTTATTCTTGCATGTGAGGGATTTTGATTGACAGTCTTATAGGATCACACAGGGTTTTAGGGTTATGATAGACTAGTTTGTGAGACTTACTATCATTCGTGTCCGGGGTTTTAACTAACAATGTGGTGGGGTTGCAAAACTAGTATGAGTAAAGGGGATTACTTTATCACGTCCTCTAGGAGTCATGGTAGGATCATTACTAAAGTGCATCTTGATAAAATTATCGAGGTTTAGCCCGACGTGGTTTTATTTTTTTTTCATTGCGTACAAATGGATCATTAAGGCATATGGGGATTTTGGTAGTTGCTGCTCAATCATAATCAACACGACCAGTCTTGTACATAAGATGCACGACAAAGAAATAGTGACATGAAGACATATCATAAGAGCACAAATAATTTTTTTAAAAAAATGTATAACCATAAGTAAAAGGTTATTTAATGACAACACAATAGTATCATAATTTCTGTACCTTTTAGAAGATATCAAAATTGACATTTCATTAAATTTCAAAGGTTTTTTTCACGCCCATAAAGTAAAACATAAAATTGTCAACAATGTTTTTGACATTTTTTTATCATATGAAAGAGTTTGTTACGACAAAAAGGTATTCGGGTTTGATCATGCCCCAGTTAGCATATGCTAATTTAATCATAAAACGTGAAGAGGACAGATATACCTTATAGAGTATCATGATGTAGCCAATAAATTAAGACGTAACATTTTCAATAATGTTTTGGACAGTTTTTCATCATGTGAACGAGTTTCTTACGACAAAAATATATTTGGGTTTCATCATGCATCGGTTAACATATGCTCATTTGATCCTAAGACTTGAAGTAACCAGATATGTCCCATAGAGTACCATGTAGCATACAACATTCGTAAGACGTCACGGTTGTATGCGCAACACAATATATTCATTATCCGTTGCACACAGAAATCTAAAATATATTTCAAATGAAATATAGGTTTTAAGGTCAGACCATTTGTTTCAATTGTGGTTATCTAGGTAGAAAATGAGTTGTTATATTGAAAGTTGAAGTATAGAAGGGACAAAGGTCATGTATTTTTTTTTTTTAATTATATTTACTCATCTTTGTGGAAAATATGTTGTACTTGTTACAATTTGCGTTACATACATACACTCATAAACATTCAACAATTCAATCCAGCTACATGATTTTTAATACTAACAACATTGCTTACCGTAAATATTTTATGAATTGGTATTATATTTTTAATACTAACAACATTGCTTACCGTAAATATTTTACGAATTGGTATTATACCCTAAGCTACAAAAGTCGTCCGCCCGGTCCGCCCGGACTCGCCCGGGTCACTCGGGCAACTCATTTTCGTTCTTTTTTTTTTTTTTTTTTTTTCGGTGGTGGTTGTTGTTTGCGCTTTGCCTATACTCTCAAAATCCGCCATGTTTTTTATTTTTCGGATGTACATAGTTGGGGGGTTTGCAGGGAGGGGGGAGGGGTTGTTCTGCAGCGTTGTATGATGATATCACAACCGGTTGCCATTACCATCCCCAACAACGGTTTTAACGGTCTAACCAAAGCAGTTGTTGAGACCTGTCAAAGCAACCGGATCTGATATCCGCCATCTGTTCGTTGTGTGGTTGAGGCAGCATCTGATTGTTGTTCCATGTCTCAGAAAACCGGTTTGGCGGTCTTGCCAGGCGAACCCAATAAGTTGTTACTGATTCCTGTGAAGGCAGCAACCCCCTGGTTTTTGTATCAGCAAAGCGGTTTGCTGATAACCGGTTGTCGTTACCATCCCCAACAACGATTTTGACGGTCTGACCAAAGTGGTTGTTGAGACCTGTCGAAGCAACCGGCTCTGGTATCCGCCATTTGTTCGTTGTGTGGTTGAGGCAGCATCTGATTGCTGCTCCATGTCTCAGAGAACCAGTTTGGCGGTCTTGCCAGATTAACCCAATAAGTTGTTACTAATTTTTGTGAAGGCAGCAACCGGTCCTTGGTTCTTGTAGCAGCAAAGCGGTTTGTTGATATTGTCTGGTGAAGGCAACAACCAGTTGCTGCCTCTTGTATGAATAATCCGGTTTGCTGATCTTGTTAGGTGGTGTCAGCATGTGCTTGCTACACATGGTACCAGCAAACCGGTTCCGAACCTGTTCAACAGCAAACCGGGTGTGAACCTGTTGAACAGCAAAACAAAGACGAATTCAAGAACAGCAAAACAACGGTGAATTGAACAGCAACAAACAATAACAACTTCCCCCTCCTGCAAAACATGTAGTGAATCTGTTGTTTCTGCTGGATATAGCAGAATTGAGACATTGTGCAAGCTCAGAGCACAACTGTCAGACACAAGCGGCAAGACAGCAACAAAAAGGAATCAATGGTCACTGGCCAGCAATTTGAAAGAAATCAAATCCCTGGAGTTCTCCAAACATCGCACAGGCCACAGTACTGATGAAACACATGCAGCATGGGATGCACACAAGTTCAGAAATGAAGTATGTTGCTACATGCCATAAGTTGTCTACTTCTAGAAGAAGAAGATGAAGAAGATGCAGAAGTCAAGTTCAGGCATGGCATTCAGGGATCTGTTTCGATTTCCTTCTCTCTCTCTCTCTCTCTCTCTCTCTCTCTCTCTCTCTCTCTCTCTCTCTCTCTCCTGAAGATGCCTATTTCTAGTCTGGGTTTGTCCCGCCACCCCCCTCTTCATCACTCGCATCCTCCGTTCCTGTGGGGTCGTCCTCAAGGACCTGCCAACGCCGCGAGGTTGTTGCCTTTCCCTTTTGTGCGCGCTTCGGCCTTACCAAGGGAGGACGAGGTAGCAACGGTGCAGATTTTTCTTCCCCCTTTTTGGGTTTTCCCCGCCCACGCTTCACCAACGGAGTGACTGTGGGTTCTACAACAGTCTTCCGCTTTCTGCCCGCCCTGCTTCTATCAATGTTGTCGTGGACGAGAGACTCGTCCAACTCGGGCAATGGTGGCGGAGGGCGCACAGGCTCCTACGTAACTGGTTGTTGCATCTCAACCTGTTGTTGCTGCTGTTGTCGCTCTTGCTGTTGCTGCTGCTGCTACTGCTGGTGTTGCTGCTGCTGTTGTCGCTCCTGCTGCTGCTGCTCCTGCTCCTGCTGCTGTTGTTGTTGTTCCCCCCTCTTCACGGGCAACTGTTGGTTGACGGGTTGTTGTTGTGGTTGTTGATGTCTTTGCTGCTCATCCACCTGCACGGGCTCTTGACGGCGAACAGTTTGCTGCTGCTGCTGCTCGGTCGGCAACTCCTGTTGCTGCTGATGATCATCGGGCATGTGGTGCCGCAACTGTCGCTGCTGGTGGACCTGTTGTTGTTCCTCTGCTTCGTGCAACAGTTGTTGATCGGGTTGTTGGAAAGACCGTTGGTGTGCCTGCTGCTCCCGGTCGTCCCGTTTTGTTTGGTTAACTTGCTGGTGCTCATCAACCGGGAAGTGTTGGTGCTGCACCGAGAGCATGTTGTGCTCAAGCTCCCGCTCTTGGCCGCTCGCTTGCTGCTGCTCGACTTGCGAGTGTTGTTGTTCATGTGCTTGTCGTTGGGCTTCGCTCTCCTACTGGTCCGCCGGCGGTTTTGAGTGTTTCTGAACCCTTTCTTGGATGTCCCCCCTCATTCCGGGAGGCGGTTGGGGCATAAGTGGTCTCGAACAAAGGGGGGCTGTCGCGCGACGTGCATCTTCCTCCTGAATGCGCTGTTTCACGAGATTTTGGTCCCTGTCTGCCATGGTTTTTGCTACAGCCCTACCAACCTCGTCATGGGAGCCTGTGTCCACTGCGTGTCGTTGCAGCTCTTCCGACCAGCACTCCACATCGCTATCCATCCTATCCAAATGAGCATCGGGAACATTGAAACTTTCTTCACATGCCACATCATCTTCATTCTCGTTGTCATATGATGGCGGAACAACAGTGAAGTCAGGGTCACAATCCTCCTCATCCAAATACTCGTCTTCCTCCTCCTCCTCCTTCTCTATGTCCATGACAGCCTTCCCCTTTGCTGATCGTGGCAGTGGAGTCCTCCTCTCATGCGGTTTCCCGCTCCATATGAGCTCCTCATCACTAGATTTAGTGTCTGAGTCATCTGAACCCCCCCCAACCGGAATCCTTCCCTTCAAGGTCTTCCTCAAGTTCGATAGCCTCCGGGACTCTTCCTCATCCTCCACCAAAGGGTCGGGGAGAACGGGATCATCATTTGGTGAAGGAGCCTATGACTCGTCGAAGAAAGAAGCCCAAACATCCACGAAACCGTCCTTCAAACTCTTGGGGATGCACTGGAGCTGCATGTTCCAATGGATGTACACCAACTTGGCCAAACTTGAGCTCGACAAGTTGTTCCTCCCCTTCGTGTGAATCAAATCTAGTGATGACCAGTTTCTCTCACAAGGTGTGGTTGTGCTCCATAGGGTTGTCACCCTGGTGGCGATCTTCTGGAGATCCGGATGATTCTCGCCATAGGACGACCACCACTGTGACGCTGTCTTTTTCGTGACAATGAGGCATCCGCCACCCCAAAGTTGTCCCACATCGGCTCCTTGCGACAAAGCTCCTCCGGTGGCTTCTGATGAAAAGCCCGGAGACTCTGCCAAACATCCACATGGTTTTGCTGCGAACCCCACCTCTCTCCTCCAAGCTGCGACAAGAAATGTTTGATGGTGTTGTGCACAAGAGGGGTGTTCTTGTCTTGCATCCAACGCGGGTCTCTTCTCATCGGGGACAACAAAAAATTTGTTGTGTGCACAAGCTGCCTCATCATCTTGCAGCGGTCGTCAACAATCTTCATGATCTCGTCCTTTTGCTGTTGTGTGATGCCACGAATGCTGTGCAAGCGAGTTTGGAGCATCTCCCCAAAGCCCCACAAAGATGACGGTGTCACACCGTCATGATCCATCCGCCTGAGGAGTTCATTTACCGGCCGCATCACAAGAACGATCTGATACACCTCCTCCCACCACGGACTCGATCGAACTGTGTGGTAAATATTGTCGGCCTTGTTCCTCAGCTCCCTCGAGCTCCAGTGGATGTTCTTTCATCCTCTCTCCATCATCTCCTCCAGCACCCCCTTCCTGTCGTGCAATCTGTTCAACATTTTGAACGTGGACGCGAACCTTACCTCCGTGGGCATGATCAGGGTCTTCCTCTCCTCCAACGAGCAGGCTGAGAACAAGGACACCGTGCGATGGTGGTTCTTGATAAACTTCACCATCATCTTCGCCCTCTTCACTATCTTGCTCACCCAAGGGAGTTTCGCCAAATCCTTGAGAAGTAGACTGAGCGTGTGTGCAGCGCACAGCACCCAAGGGATCTTCGCAATGTCCGGATCTGTACTTCGTCACTAGATCCTCGCAGCCCGTTTGTTCACCCCAGCGTTGCCAATGCAGATTGCGTTCACCCTGTGCACACCAATCTCCTTGATGACCTCCTCCCATAGCTTAGCGATCGCTGCGGCATTCGTCTTCCTATGACTCACGTCAACCACCTTCAGCAACATAGCACCACCCGCCCCCGCGCAGATGAAGTTTAAACCGGGCCTCCACTTGCGATCTATTGTACCATCTGTGATGAGCGTGCAACCGGTGATGTCCCACTGGTCGATCAAGGGTTACACCGCTGTCTTTACCTCCTCGTACACAACATCCAGAATCACAGTTCGCAAAGTGTCGAAGGTGGGCACGTCCACCTTCGCCTTCGCTGCCGCCAACTCCATGTACAAGTCGTGAAGGGTCCATGACTCATCAACGCGAACGAAATTGAAGGGCGCGCCAGAGCGAAACAACGCCCCTCCCCATTGCATATCAAGCCTCTTTTGTGCGATGTTCTCTGTCCACCGTCGGATGGAGGCCTGCTTAGGCTTTCCGGACTTTGCTGCAGACGAGGACCCCGTACTAGAGGGCGTCACAGAAGTGATGGCTTCTCCGTCCTTCATCCCGCCCTCGATATCATCCTTGGCCCCTCGGACCTCTCGGTCGGGTGCTGGAGGTGGCCGCAAGTCCTTTTCAATATCATCCACCACCGTCTTGTCCGCATTTGCCCCAGGCGCCATCCCTTGTGTCCTCTGCAATGCCCTTGTCGACCCTGTACTCATAGAGCATCCTCTTCGATGCATCCCCGTCAATGGTGGCCCCTCTCAGCGCCAACAGATGCAGCATCTCCCCAGTCATGTACGGGCATGTTTTGGCAGCTTTGCCCTTCTTGATGAAGTGCTCAATCGCCCGGGTCTTTGATACCACAAAAATCTTCGTGTATAGTTTGCAGCGGACCCAATACTGGTCATACCCCTTGGGATCTGCTTTCTGCCCTCTTTCTATCCACCGGTACACCACATTATCCCGCTCCAATTCCTTCTGCTTGAGTTCGGGCTGTGGCTCGAACGGCGATGAGGAGGTCTTCGCCTTGCCCTTGCCCGCGCCGCTGCTTGTCCCGCTCGCAGTGGCATTCGCCTTGCCCTTGCCTGCTCCGGCGTTTGTCCTGCTCGTCGATGCCATGCCTCAGACCTTAAAAAAGAAGAAGAAGAAGAAGAATGAAGAAGAAGGAAGAAGACGGGAAGTTGATTTGCAAAACTCAGAAAGGAAGAAGCCTTAGAAGAGGGGAGGATGCGCACTGAGGGCGTGGAGTTGTCAGCAGCAGTCGAGGAGGACAACGAAGCACATGCACAACAAGGAGTGACACATGTCAGAATCTTCTCGTCTACCTATGAAGTTTCCGCTCGTGCAGGCCGGCAGGCTGGCACACTGGCACACGTAAAATACTAAATGCATCACCTCCCTTGCATATAGTTTTCCAAGAACCTTTATAATTTAAAAAGTACACATGTTCTCTACGTTACCATTAAGATTTTATACATGCATCTCAACTGAGCGGAATAAACAGGGATTCAAACTTTCTACTTAACAAACACTTCAGTGTGAATACCCACAAAACAATACAATGAATCATTGTAAATAGACTTCTTCTTTGAAACTTAGTCTCCCGTCATGATACCCTCAACAACCCCCCAAACGACACTCTACGACACTCTACGAGACTTTACAAAACTCTACTTTACGATATTGTACTGTACTCTACGAGACTATACTTTACTCTACTCTATTCTACTCTGCTCTACTTTACTGTATTGTACTTTACTCTACTCTACTCCACACTACTTTATTCTACTCTACTCACCCACTATACTCTACTCTACGAAACTTTACTCTACGACACTCTATAACACTCTACGACAATTTACTCTACAACACTTTACGACACTCTGCTCTACTCTACGACACTGTACTCTACTCAACTCTACTCTACTTTATGACTCTCTGCTCTACTTTTCTCTACGACACTTTCCTCTCTACTCTACTCTGCTCTTCAACACTCTACACTACTCTACTCTACTCTACTCTACTCTACTCTACTCTACTCTACTCTACTCTACTCTACTCAACTCGACGACACTTTAGTCTACTCTACGACACTCTACTCTACTCTACTCTACTTACGACACTCGACGACACTTTAGTCTACTCTACGACACTCTACTCTACTCTACTCTACTCTACTCTACGATACTCTTCTATAGTCTTTGACAGTCTACGACACTCTACAAAACTCTACAAAACTCAACTCTAGGATACCCTATGACACTCTACTATACTATACTCTATGACACTATATGACACTCTACTTTACGTTACTCTACTCTACTCTACTCTACTATACTCCACTCTACTTTACTCTACTCTACCCACTTTACTATACTATACTCTACTCTACTACACTCTACTCTATTGTAAGACACTCTACAACACTCTACACTATGACACTCTACGACATTCTACCACTCTACGGCACTCTACTTTACTCTACGACACTCTACTCTACTCTACAACATTCTATTATACTCAACTACATTGTAGGACACTCAACTTTCTCTACGACACTGTCGTCTACTCTACTCTACGACATTGCACTCCATTCTATGACACTCTAGAACACTTTGCTCGACTCTACAATACTTTACTTTACTCAACGACACTCTACGACACTTTACGATACTCTTTAACGCTCTACTCGACTCTACGCTACTCTACGACACTGTACTCTACTCTGCGACATTCTACTCTTTTTTATGACACTCTTCTCTACGACATTCTAAAATACTCTACTCTACGACAGTTTACTTACGACACTATACTTTACTCTTCAACATTCTACTCTTCTCTATGACACTCTACTCTACGACACTCTAAACTGCTTTACTCTACTATACTCTACGATACTCTACTCTACCCTACGACAGTCTACTCCGACTACTCTACTTGACTCTACGACTACTCTACTTGACTCTACTATACGACTACTTTACTTGACTCTACCACACTCAACGACACTCTACTCTACTCTACGGCAGTCTACTCTATGACTACTCAATTGTACTCTACTTGACTCAACGACACTCTACTCTACACTCTACGGCACTCTATTCTACTCTACTTTTCTCTACTACAACACTCTTTGTACTCTATGACATTCTACGACACTCTACAAAACTCTACTTTACTCTACGACACTCTACTATACTCTACGACACTCTACTCTACGACACTCTACTATGCGACACTCTACTCTACTATATTTTATTTTTCGACACGACACTATATTGTACTTTACTCTACTCTACTATACCCACTCTAGACTACTCTACTCTACTATATTCTACCATACTCGACACTAAGACACTCTACAATACTCTACTCTACGACACTCTACTCTACTTTACTCGACGACACTCTACTGTATTTTACTCTACGACACTCTAATATACAACACTCTTCAACACTGTACTCTACCACACTCTAGGACACTCTACGATGTTGTACGATACTCAATTTTACTCTACTTTACTTTATTATACTCTACTCTACGACACTCTTCTTGACTCGACGATACTTTATCATACTCTACGACAATCTAATCTACGACACTCTTCGACACTTTACTCTACCACACTCTACGACATTCTACGACACTGTACGATACTCGACTCTTCTCTACTCTACTCTTTTGTACAATACTCTATTCAACTCTGCGACACTCTACTCTGCGACACTCTACTTTACTCTATGACACTTTACTCCATTTTACTCTACGGTACTCTACTCTACTCTACGATATTGTTCTCTACCCTAAGACAATACACTCTATTATACTTTGCGACACTTTATGACACTCTTCTCTACTCTACTCTACTGTAGAACACTCGACTTTACTCTACGATATTGTGCTCTACTCTCGCATACTCTACTCTACTCTACGACACTCTACTCTGCTTTACGACACTCTACTTTACTCAACTCTACTCTACTACACTCTTCGACACACTTATGTCTTTATGACACTCTACGATACTCTACGCCACTCTACAACACTCTACTTTATGACACATTTCTCTACTATACTCTACTTTACGACACTATACTTTACTCTGCTCTATCCTACTCTACTCTACTCTACTGTACTCTACTTTATTCTACTTACTCTACTCTACTTTACGAAACTCTACTCTACGAAACTTTGCACTACGAAACTCTACGACACTAAACGACAATTTACTCTACAACACTCGACGATACTCTATGACACTCGACTCTACTCTACTCTACGACACTATACTCTACAACACTTTACTCTATCACACTCTACTCTACTATACTATACCCCATCAACTCAATTGTACGACACTCTACGACACTCTACTCTACTATACTCTACTCTATCACACTATATGACACTCTACTTTACTTTACTCTACTCTACTCTACTCTACTTTACTGGACTTCACTCTACTTTTCTCTACTCTACCCACAATACTCTGCTCTATCACACTATATGACACTCTACTCTACTTTACTTTACACTACTCTACTCTACTCTACTCTATTGTACTCCACTCTTCTTTTCTCTACTCTACCCACAATACTCTACTCCGCTCTGCTCTACTACACCCTACTCTACTACACTGTATTCCACTTTAAGACACTCTACAACACTCTACTCCACGACATTCTACAACACTCCACTGTACTTTATAACATTCTATTATTCTCTTTGACATTGTAGGACACTCTCTCTGCTCTACAACACTGTACTCCACTCTAATTTACAACATTCTACTCTACTCTACGATACTCTTTTAACACTCTACTCTACTCTACAACACAATACTCTACTCCACTCTACGACATTCTACTCTACACAACGACACATTACTACATTTTACGACACTCTATAACACTCTACTCTACTCTACTCTACTTTACTCTACGACATAGTATTCTACTTTGCGTCATTCTACTCTTCTCTATGACACTCTACTCTACGACACTCTAAAATACTTTACTCTACAACACTCTACTCTATGACTACTCATTGTACTTTATTCGACTCTACCCACTCAATGACACTCTACTCTATGACATTTTTCAATACTACGACACTCTACTCTACTCTACTCTTCTTACGAGTCATTCTACTCTTCTCTATGATACTCTACTCTACGACACTCTAAAATACTCTACTCTACGACACTCTACTTTACGACATTGTACTCTACATTACGACATTTTACTTTTCTCTATGACACTCTATTCTACGAGATCCTAAAATACTATACTTTACGACACTCTACTTTATGACTACTCTACTGTACTTTACTCGACTCTACGCACTCAATGGCACTCTACTTTATGACATTCTTCAACACTACGACACTGTACTCTACTCTACTCTTCTTACGACACTCTTCTGTACTCTATAACACTCTATGGTACTCTACAATAATCTCCAAAACTTTACTATAAGTCACTTTACTCTACGACACTCTACGATACTCTACTCTACCCACTTTATACTATCCTACTCTACACTTCTATACTCCACTTTACTCTGAGACACTCTACAATACTCTACTCTACGAGACTTTACTGTACTCTACTCGATGACACTATATCATACTCTACTTTACGATATTCTAATCTACGATACTCTTCGATACTCTACGACACTGTACTCTACGACACCCTACTACACTGTACGATACTCAACTCTACTCTACTTTGCTCTACTCTATGACACAGTACTCTACTCTACGACACTCTACTCTACTTTATAACATGCTAGTCTACGACACTGTACTCTACGACAGTCTACTCTACTACACTCTACGACACTTTACTCTATCATTTTGCTCTACGACAATCTACTCTACTCTACTCTACGGTATTGTACTCTACTCTACGATTGTCTACTCTATTATAC